CCCCCAGCTAGCCACGTAACGTCTGTGTGCGTGTGTAACATTGCTGCCAGCTGGGCCAAGAACTGGCCGGGGAACTGGAGGAGCGGAAGGGAAAGGTTAATAATACAGATTCTGCCCGAACGTGATTTTATGTTGTTACAGGGGGAGTAAGCGATCTAAATCGCTGGTTAGTATTGCGGCACGTTTGTCAGAAGTAAGGTGAAGCATAAGAACTCCAGTTCCCTCTGTTGTCTGTGTATGATCTCACCTCTCCCACAGTGTTCTCTTAAGCCTTTGGAGAAGACCTGTTCATGAGACTTATGAACTTAGCATGTTCTGACTGAATCCTGAACAAGTTTGAGGTGCTGTTGGTATTGTTCCTACAAGAGGTATTTTGGTTTTCAGTTTTAAAAAAATATTCTACATTTTTGTGCTGATGTGGTCACTGATACTCCATAGTGAAGCTCAGACTAGCACCAACAAGAAACTGCAATAGCTGAAATTCTGCAACTGCAATGAGTTATTTAGGGGAAAGCAGCCAATTAGGCAAACACAAATATTTGACTAATATACATATATATCAATAACCTACCTGTTTCTTTGGCAACTAATTGCTTATAGATTGAAAGAGCAGTAATGAGATATATGGAGTCCCTGAACTTACTGACTTTTAGAATCACTTCAGGAATTAAAAGATGCCTATCCCCTTTGGCAGGAAAAAATGGTTTTGTTTCTCATTAACATAATTTCCTACAGTATCCTTTCAGAAAAAGCCCAACCAAACAAAAACCCAAAACAAAAAAACACACATGGAAACATCCTGCTCAGAAACACCACGTTTTCAACTACCCAAAAGGAAGGATGTAGAGGAAAAACTCATCCACATGCTTGAAAGCCTCTGCACTTTCTCTTCCATCTTCTTTTGCTGTTCTGCACCACAACCAGTGAACTCTGTGCCATAGGTCACTACCATGAAACCATTATCTCTTTGGCCTGGATACATCCAGAAGGAAGATTTACTTACTTAGAAATATTGTAGCAAAAGCATATGCTTGTCTTCCACATTAATGATTCCTATACAACACTTTTACAGCACAATGTAGGGTACCCCTCTTATTTTGCAAATAATATTAAAACACCTCTTAGTAATACAGAATCAAGTGTTGCTGTCATTTATGACAAAAACGCTTCCATCCAAAAAAGATCCAGCCATTGCAGGGCGTATGTTCATTTCAACCAGTATTTTAACCCATGCCATCATGCTTCACTGTCATTCTGAAGCTGCTGTTCAATGTTATTTAGTAGCAAAGAATGAAAAAAAAAAATAAATCACTATGATCTCCTCTGTTCCTTCTGTACAAGAGGAAGGGTCGTCAGCATCCATAGTGCAGATGCCCAAGGTAACTTGAAACTGAACCGGAACAACGGGACCGGAACAGAGGTGGCACGCAGCTAGTTCACCCTTTCAAGAAGCTGTGTGTGGGTTCCTTACTCTGCAAGTAGTAGTCCTGGTGTACCTAAGCAATACTACACACCTATTGCCCAAACACTGTAATAACACTAGCACAAAAGTCAGCCTTTTCTGTGTTTTAAATACGAGCACAGTCTCAAATTTTGAAACAAGTTCTCCAGAGAGGGATGACGACTTCTATTTTTATCACCACCGAGCTGGTAATATCAAATATGTGGAAATCACACTCACATGCAAAACCACAAAGCAGTCCCTGCTGCAAAAAGCTTAATTTTCCGAGTCATGAACAAGTAACTGCAGGCGGAGACAGACAGGAGAAAATGGAAACAAAAACAACAGTAAACTGAAAAGGCAGGTATCGCTCTTGTAGGAGAGTGGAATTATGCAGATCTAGAATATGGCCTCATACCACCTGCAAATTTAATTTTCCTCAGGAGTTTGTGAAATTTCTGGGGACTCCCCCCTTCTGTTCTCTTACTATGAAATCTTACACTTCCCATGCCTGATTCCTTTCCCTCCAACCCTCACAAGGATTTTTTTCAAGGGTTACTGAGTTTGAAGAAAGGAGAGAGAAAAGTACAGAGGGAGGAAAGGGAGAAAAGACATGGCCATTTGGAGAAAGGGAGGCAGAACATGAAGACAGAGCTGAAAGAAAAGCATGCTATGTCCCTGCTGCTTTGCTCTATTTTTACATTTGGGTCATTCCAAAGAAATCAATAATTAAACCAAGCTAGGAGAATTTGGCATTTCATTGGTGGTTGGTATAAAGAAAAAGGAAGTAAAAAGAGACTGTTAAGAGGTAGGGGGTGGAAGGGAAGGCAAAGGAAAAGATGAGCCTCTACATGCGGACTAGTAAATTCGATTTTTACTTAATTACATTTACCTTTCAAATCCCCAAGATGGCAAGAATGAGGAAGGATTAGTATTGTCTTCATTGTTAATTTCACGCCCAGTTGTTTATTTGTGCACTGTCAGAAAGGGGTTTTCAAAGTCCAGCCTTCCTTTCTGCCGTTGTCAGTAGCTGTGGGTACAGGAAACAGCTGTTCAGGACTGCATACCAAATCCAGATAGTCACATGCCTTGATTTGTGCTTCCAATTACTTATTCAGACAAAGGTCTAAAATGTATTTCATTTCAATCATTTTGTACAGTGTAAAAAACCATAGGTTTATACTTCACGTTGTTTTTAACTGGCCTAAACTAATGAGATCATCTCATGGTGAGGAGCAAGATCTTCATCCAATGCCTTCAACAGAGCAACATCATCTTACCCTGCATTTGTTAATTTACTTGGTCTGTCATTACTGGGTATATATTGCATTTCCATTAATTAAGGACAGTTATTTACATTGAAAGGGTGATGGGGTGGAATTGCCTAGCTAGCAAAGCAAATCCCTAATGACTCAGGCATGTCTGCAATGTTTATCCAGGTCTGCAAAGAGACTTCTGAAGGACAAACATTCTGACTTTTGCTCCACCATGGAGTATTTTTAAAAGGCAAGTTTATATATTATCATGCCAGGAGAAAGATACATGATTATCTAACATGAAAAACTGTTGGACACATGCTAGAAAAAGCTTACAGTATGCATGATGCAATTCTACTTTACATGTAGCAATTTGTTTATCAGTTCTACATATACATCTGCAACTGAGAAGAACAAAGAAAAATAACTGAAGCTAGCCCATGTTTTACAGTCAAATTATAACAAAAAAACCTGCAAAGTCAACTATTAAATCTCTTTTTCTCTAAGAGAAGTTGCAAAGAAACAATGTTCCATTGGTTGTATCACCACCACTAAAGCTTACAACGGACTCCTTCTAGAAGATTCGTTTCTTTTAATATGAAAGGTGAAGCTCTGTACAGAATGAAACACAGTGACCGACAAATACTGAGATTCAAGTACAAGGCTTCATCAGCAGAACCAGCGCTATACATTTTATACGCAGTTAGGGAAGACAGACTTGTAACAACAAGTTACTTGTAATCAATATCCTGTACCCACCTAAAAAAAGGTGTATTTTTCTGTGTTTCCATTCATTTTATATATTCATGCATGTTTCACTGGCATATCTCATAGCAGAGTAGCGCA